GAAGATTTGAAAGAAGTGGGTGTGGCCACACTTGGAGCCAGACGCAAACTGCAAATTGCTATTTCAGGTAAATTGTAAACCAGCCCTCCTCATTAATTAATTAATTAATTAATTAATCATCATTAATGCTCATTATCACGCCTGAATCAGCACTTTTGCCCCCAAAATAATGGACCGTGTCTGATACTCTATACTGGTACAGCCCTTACAGGTTTTATTATAGATCATACCTGATATCCTGGCATGAATTAGTACAAATTTTATCATGATTGTATCATAGCTGATTTTCACAGTTGCATCATGACTGATTACACGAAAGCCATGATTCATGACTGATATCAGTACAGATTCAGACTGATATCAGTCCTGATCTAAGCGATAACAATTGGTTGTGTACATGTACATGTAAGCATGCTGGGTTTCCCATAAAGCATGTATTGAAGTGAGCTAAACAGCTAGCATCTGACATACCTAACATTGCTTGTACAGTATACTATGTAGCATCGAAGTTGGAACAACTTCAAAAATTCATTTAAAATCCAAATTTCATTGGAATCAACTCAAAGTTGGTATACAACATAAAAGCATGTATATGTATCAGGGAAAATTATTAGAATGGAGAATTTTCTCCTAGCCATTTTTGATGAAATTTGGCCAAGTACCAAAGGCTATAATTTGGCCTGATTTTTGAGCAACTTAAAAAATTCATTAAAAAACCAATTTTAATCGGAATCAGCTCAAACTTGCTACACAACATAAGAACATGTATATGTATCAGAAAAAATTATAAAAATGAAAAATTCTGTCCTAGTCATTTTTGGCAAAATTTGGCCTACGACCCTCAGGGACTTTGACCTGATTTTTAATAACTCTGACAAGTCACACAAAAATCTAAATTTGATTGACAACTGCTCAAATATTTTTTGTTTCTTTAGAAATCTGCAAGTTAAGATCAGAAGGACCTAAGCCACACTCCCTTCGTTCAACCAGTGCCAAGAAAATGTCTGTCCCAGGTCCCCTCCTGGGGGTCGGTCGTCCAGAGAGAACAGGAGTCCGTTTAGCTCCAAGCTATATGAGTAAGAGTGTCCGATTTTAACTGCCGCCTACTTTTGGTTGGAACGTGATCAGTCTTTGGCCTCTTCCATTAACAGAACTACAATAATAATGATAATGATAATAATAATAACTAGTATTATTGTTACTACATTTTCTAGTACCTACTTGGTTACTAATAAGTAAAGGAACAATTTTTTATTGCTATTCACAATTCATCATTCATCTCCCATTTTTCTTCCCCCTTTTGTTTCACATTATTTGCTACACTATTAACAAGAGTTCATAATACGATATGCTCTTGCTATTAATAAAATTATTTTTGTACATCACATCAGAATGACACTATTAATTGAATTATTAAAATACACCTAAATTTATGCTGCCATTTGTATGTATAAACCAAACTATGTAACTAAAGCTAGCTGATATGTTTGTGGGGCGTGGCTCATTTGCTACACAGCACGTTATCCTGGCAGGCTCGCCTCAGTTTAAGTAAGAGCAGCGTCTACACTAGAGTTTTCAGTTTTGTTTTAACTGTCTATGATGCTCTGGTTATTTCTCTTGTTCGTATTGTTAGGCCAGCAATTTGGTCTTCTATCCCTTCATCATTCTACAGGTCAGTCTTATATCTTCAGTCCGTGGCAGGAGCTCAGCAGTGGAAGCAAACTGAGTTCCTCCATTGCATGTCTCACCTACTCTGGTTTACCTTTATGTATTTTTAATTAGCTTCTCCTGTTCCTAATATCACATTCACTACTACTACTGGTAGATCACTGGGAGAGAGTTTAACTCTTGATTGTACAGTTGATGTGCTAGATGGAGTATGCAATATTTCTGTTAATATCAGTATGGTAGTAAAGAGTAAAGGACTCACTACCAGTATTACTGGATCAGGTGATACTGCGCTAGTGAATACATTTAATTCTTTAAGATCATCTGATGCTGGGGTCTATCAATGTATTGTTAATATCACTCAACTTGGCCCAGACTATGAAGTTAATGGGATGCAATCTACTGAAGTGATACTAACGTGTATGTTGTAATAGTTGAATTAATGTTCTATTTTATATTGTTTTTATAGTACCAACTCCTCCAGTTATTGTTGAGTATAATGCTACTGGACATTTAGTAGATGGAGAACTAGCAGAAGGACAGTTTCTTGATATTATGTGTATAGCTGACATCAGTCAATATATTGATACTAGTGTTAGTGTTACTATGAGTTGGAGGAGAAATAACACTGTACTGACCAATGGAAGTGATTTTACTATCAGTCCTCCAGTTATGACTAATAATCAGTACACTGGTGTGTTACGTATTAATAGTTTAAGAGATGAAGTTGATAATGGTGCTAGTTATAATTGTTCAGTTAGTGTAGCTCCTAATACTCCTTTTATAATAGCAGGGAATGATAATAGCAGTGCAGTTACATTAACTGTAGCAAGTAAGTGAATTTATTTATATTTTATCCCATTTTACTTAATTTTTAATAGGGTTCGATGTCAATCATGTTGATATAAGTATCAATATTCCTTCTGTTCCTGTTGCTGGTGATGTATTCAATTTATCTTGTGTTATAGTTGTACCTCCTAATTTTGTTGAGAATCTTACTAGTGTCAGATGGACGTATGATTTAGAAGCATCTCAAGATGTGACTAGTGAAAACAATGATGCTACACTAGTACCTGTTGTTAGAAATGGAAATATATTAACCAGTGTACTTACACTTGATCCAGTGAAGACAACTGATGCTAGACAATATTACTGTCAAGCAACAATTCTAGTGTTTGGCACTGTAGATCGTGTTAACAGAGATTTAACTGTTCAAAGTTAGTTTTACTTATTATTTGATATTATCTAAAGCAGTATTCCTCTTTTACAGTATCACCTCCCAGTGTATCAATAATTGCTGATCCTCCAACTGGTCAAATATATGAGAGCACTGGCTACTTTCTAACTTGTACAGCTACAGTAAACACTACAATAGTGAATACACCAGTAACTGCTAGTGTAGTATGGACTGATCCTAGTGGTAATGTAATACCAACTAATGAAGCAAGACGTCAAGTGATACCTCCAACTGGTAACAGTCTTGTAAGTATGCTATTGTTTCTACCTATTGATACTGGTCTTAATAATGATGGAGGAACATATACCTGTCAAATGATTATCAATTCTGGTAACTCATTAATAACATCAAGCCAACCTACTAATACTACTCTTACTGTTACTATTGAAAGTAAGTTTTTTATGTACTACAAACTGCTTCTCCATTTCATACCCTAGTTCTCTTTTCTCTCTTTTTTGTATGTACTTTCTTAGTTCTCCTGCTCTTTGTCTTCACACAAATCCTTTTTTTAGTCTTTGTCCCTATACCTTCTTTATTAGGTCTTCCTCCAATGACAGTAAATTTCTCATCAGTTGGTTCAGTTGAAGTTGGTCAGAGTCTAACTTTAACATGTACCATAACAACAGTTGAGAGATTAGTAGTAACACCAATGGTTACTTTCATTAAAATGAATGATACAGATATGGAAATGCTCTCTAACTTAAATAGACCATACAGTATCACAACAGATGATACTGGTTCAGGTTCAGTTACTAACTATACTCTAATACTGGATCCAGTGAGGTTTGAAGATGCTGGAATGTATACATGTATGGCTGAGTTTAATGTAACTGGTGCGAATGATACCAATGATCCTAGCACTGCTACTTATGATTATCGAGAGGATAGTGATGTCTTTAATTTAACTGTTGACTGTAAGTTATAAATATTCTGTACAGTAAGTGGTAAATTTAATAGTTAATTTTTAAAAATTTAGATTGATTCTCATTAAAGATATTAATTTATTTAATATTTTTACAGTTCCACCAGTGATTGTTACTATATCAAAAGAATGTGATGATACATTATATGCAGGGACATCATTCTTCATTAAATGTGACATAATGTTAGATCCATTAGTTACTATACCAGTGACTGTCACTAATCAATGGACACGTGATGGTACTAATGTTCCTATGGGTTCATCTGATGCTACTATTACTGAGGGTCTCAATATGATCAATACATTACATTATAATACAACATTAATGTTCTATCCATTGGATAATGCTGATGATAGTGGAATGTATACTTGTAATGTTGAAGTGACTGCTCCTAATAGTTATACATATCTCAGGAATACATCAGCTAGTGCTAATACTTCTATAACAGTATTGGGTAAGTATAATCTATGCTGTATAATACTAATGTATTATAATGCTCTTGTGTAATTGTACCAAAGCTTTTATAATAAGCCTGATGTACTGTATAAGTACCTGCTATTATATTGGGCTGTGTCTTTGAATGATTGTAAATATGAGGTCTTGCACTATCCAATCTGAAATCATAGATACTAGAGTGTCTATGCTGAAAGCTTTATGTAAAATGTCACCTTATAGTGTTTGTTACTTTATGCTTCTACTTTTCACAGCTACTCCAAGGCCAGTAGTAGAGATAGTAACTATGGGTATTGCTGAACCTGGTAAAGAATACATGTTAAATTGTACAGTGACAGTTGTTGATAGACTCATAGTCTCACCAGTGATAACATGGACTAAGAGATCAGCTAACAATGTTATTGGTGTACCTCCAGATCTTATGACTGTATCTAATGTAATGAGTTCTCTTTATTTGAACTTCTCTTCTCTCAATACTTCTGATGCTGGTCTGTATACTTGTGAAGCATTCATTAATGTTAGTCAGATATTTATGGTTGCTTGGGGTAATGACACATCAAACTTACCTACAAAAAGTAAGCACACAATGACAGCAATTATTATTACTGTATTATGTTGGTGATATAACCCTCTATCTTGAACATCCAAGGATTTAAGGCCCAAGGGGGATAGAAATTCTAAGTATCTAAGATGATTTGTGATACAATTAATTTATGTAGTAGATCTAATTTATTATGAATGCAGTATTATTTTTTCAAATGCAAATATGTCTTAAAATTTAACATTTCTTTTATTTTTGCGTGTACTTCTTTTTATTGTATTATGTACCAGTTCTTTTTTGATTCATTTAGTTACATTGTGTACTCATTCCTTTCTTTTAATTTATTTTATTTCAGTTCCCATTCCATTTGTTGATGTGAGTCGATCAAGAGAGAATTATTTCTTAGCTGGCAGTAACCTGATACTAACATGTGATATCAGTGTTGATTCTAATGTTGATACGTCATTCACTGTTGATGTAACCTGGAATATGATCAATCAACAAATCATGAGTAGTGGTGATAATGGAGATAAAATTAATCCTAATTTAATGATGCTCACTGATACAAATCGTGTTAATACCAGCTCTGTTATGATGAG